GCTTCATGCTACTGCGCCTCATTTGAGCGTGTCAACATTTGAAAATGTCATGTATGGAGCTGGTTACAAGCGCAGAAAGCCAGGTTGGAAGCCGCCCTTAACACCCACGCAGCGCCGCGAGCGATTGCAATGGGCCCTCAACCACAACCCCGATCGATACGAGGTTGGTGACGGACTTGGATACGACTTCCGGTGTGTTGTTTTTACTGACGAAACACCAGCTAGAGTGGGAGAAGAGCGAGGCATGATCCGAACATGGGCTCGCGATGATGAGATCTATAATGAGGACGTCCGCCACAACCGCAACCGCCGAGACTGCTATATACAATTCTTTGGAGCTTTTAGATATGACTATAAAGGTCCTTGTCACGTTTATTTCCATGAGACACAGGAGGAAAAACAGGTAGCGGAGGAGCTTTTGGAGTTGGAAAATGCAGCTACCCGAACATCCTCAAACCATGCTCAAACCCAAGCCCGCGCAGCGCTCCAGGTGCTTAGGGAGGTCGATATAAACCTCCGTACGTCTACAAAGAAGCTTCAGCACATTAAGAAACATGATTATCATCGTGGTATTAGGTCTAGAGGTGGTGTGGATGGGTATCGCCACCGCGAAGGAGCCCTCAAGAAGGTCGCTCCATGGATCAACCAACTTAAAAACCAAGGTATCACATGCTATTTACTCGAAGATGGAGCTCCTCCACATAAGTCCCGCATCGCAAATGACTATTTGCAAGTTCAAAAGGTCGAAAAGATGGCGTGGCCAGGTCACAGTCCAGATGTGAACGCATCTGAGCATGCCTGGCCATGGTTACGACGTCATGTGACGAAGCAATTCACCCCAAGCTGTACACCAGAGCAGTGCCGACAGCAATGGGAGACCGAATGGGAGGCCATGCCTCAAGAACTAATTAATCGGTGGGTGATGGGGATTCCAAAGGTGGTGCGCAGGATTATACAAAATGAGGGAAGAAACAACTTCCATGGCTAATCGCAACTCTAAAAAATCGATATATTGATAGATCTACATATGGTTGAGTAGCCTCATCTTTTATAGAGCAAAAAACAGACTCGTTGTGTTGTTTCTTCCCTGTTTTGTATGGCCGTACAGCGGAAAAAGTGAAGTTGGCGCACAGGCCAAGCAATATTCCTCACTAAAAACGAGCTCCTTCGTATTATGCTTACCTTGTCCGTGCGCATAATGCTCATTTTGTCTGTGCGCGTAATGCACATGGTCGCATTATGCACACCCCACCACTTCCACATTACACATTTGACCCCTTGTAACTCAACACCACGATGACAGTGGAAGACGACCTTACAGAGACAGACGCATTGGACTCTGATGAAGACTTTCGTACCAAATGCTTGCCGGAAAACATGAATGCTAGCACTCTACTTTGACGCGGAGGCACTAGGAGGAAACTGAGTCGAAGAGTCGCCGTGGACGTGTAGACGCACTACACATGCTCGGCTGGTTTGCCGAGGGACCATGTCAGTGTCATCGTCATCATTAGGATGCTACGCCGCATGACTGCAGTACCTGCAGTACCTGCGTTAACGGGCGGGCGCACTGCGTTTCGAAGCGAGAGCGAGTTTTTCCGTATTGCTTATCCTTGTGCCTTCCCGATCTGCACATCATAGTAATAAAGTTGATAAAACACAGCCATGGGCGTGATCAGCGTGAGGATGACGGTAACGATCACGTACAGGCGGCTCCCAGCAAAGACCGGAAAACCCGGCGAGACGCACCGCCAGGGGCCGATCGAGTGATGCGCTGAGCACACATCATGTCGCCCCAGCGCCTGGTGGACGCAATCGCTCACGCTTATTCCTTACGAACAGCCTCATGGCTTCAACAATGTGTAGTCGCACCAAGATGGTACCGTAGCTGTCTGCAATCTGCTTTCGTAGACACAGATGCGCATCTAGATTCTGTATTGCAGTCACATACTGCTTACACACAATAACTTTGTAGTTGGGGAGAAAGTAGAGAACCGCCGACATTGCTTCACCCGAGCGTGCTGGCGGGTTGGACGGGTTGGGCGCGCAGCGGGCGGCGGTTTCTGCAGTTGTTGTTGGGCGGGCTTGCGCTGAACGCGGTCGCGCGTCCCTCCAGAACTCCATGTTTGCAGCAGCGTAACGCGACACGCAACACGCAATAGCAGAAATTTGTTAATGTTAGAGTCTCAACTATAAGTTTCGATAGCAATGCACAGTTTTTGTATATGAAATGTAATAGAAAAACGACATTTTTGATGGCAGGGAATGAAAACGGAAGACTCCTCAATCTGTCCGTTTGGGGCTGAAACCCTCTAACGTTAAGCCTGATTCGGCGCGGTGAATGCATTCCCCGTCGCGTTCGCTGAAAGGTAGGGTAGGATAGGATAGGAAGGGTAGAACGATATCATATACTAGGTGGCATAATTCCAACCTTCCGTCGCCATAAGACATCATGTGTGGAAGAGTACCGTGTCCGTGCACACAATGCACGCCGTCAGTCAATGCACGCGCATCACCAAAACGGACTGCACAAAATTGAGGCTGTAGAGCCACACACATAAGTGGTTATTATAAGTCAACTTAACAGAGTACTCTATAGACCTATGCGACAAACTTTCTCACCAATACTTTCTTGGCCGGAGGATTTTGCGGCCGCGAGTGTTGGTTTGGTGTGGCGGTGTTGGGGTACGCGCCGTGCGCGAGGCACCACCCACATCATCTCTAGTACTACGTTTCTGCTTCTTCCTTAGTGCTGCTTGTTGTGAAGCCTTGCGCTTGCCTGTAGGCGGCTTTTGGATAGTTTTCTGATGGTCGCGAGCTTGCCTTTGGCGCTCTCTCTCTGCCTTGCGTTCAGCAACTTCCTTAGCCTTCTCAGCCTTCAGCCAGTCGCGCTCTTCCTTCTCCCTCGCGCGCGCATCACGCTTCTCCTGCGCAATCTTTTCGTTGTATAGCTTGTTAGCCTTAGCAAGCTCCTTCATGTCAGCCTTTTCTTCTCCTCTGCCTCTCTCTCCTCCCTTGCAAGCTTCATGCGGGTTTTGGCTTCTCTAAATGACCGAGGAGTCCACATCATTGAAGGACCCCAGTACTCATAGTGTTGCAGCAGGTCAAGAGGCTTGCCCTTTATCTCTCTCCTTTCTTGACAGTAAGGGCGTCAAGCAAACCCTCATTTTCGCTCTGCAGGAGGGTGTTCTGTATAGCCATATGGTGGAGCGATTGTCGAACGATAGATGCATCCTTCTCTGAGGCACCACCCAACGCACGTTTCATAACCGTGTTTAGTTTTGCCACGCCTCACCGCCATATGTAGGAGCTTCCTCTGACGCGTTGCTAGAGGTGTCTGAGTCGTCATTGGTGAAGCGATCGAGTATAACGTCGGGGCTGAAGGGGTGTACACCTGTTGCCTTGAACGAGCTGAAGATGTTCTTTGCGGTAAAGCTGCTCGCCCAAGCGTCCCAGAATAGGCCAAAGAAGTCAGCCTTAGTTACAGGCACTAAGCCTTGATGCTTGTGAAGGCGTGTTGCCAGCTTCTTTGAGTATGCTGTGCTGAGAGGCTTAAACATCACCACATCGAGCGGCTGCAGCGTGTGGGTGCTGTGAGGTGGATAGATACCCAATAGTATCTTATGCCTGTGGCAATACTCTAGAAACTCTTCCGTCAGGTGACTCCCATGGCCATCCACAAGCAACAGGCGGTACTTTCTTCGAGCTTTCGGTGCCGTGAAGCGCTCAAACACCTGCTGAAGCCAGGCAAGACCAAGTCCATCGTTCGACCAGCCACTACCTGATACTCCGAAGAAGGCCATATGTTCTCCTACCTTCACGTCCTCCACCCAGGTTGATTGTATGTTGTTGGAGTCAGCCGCATAGATAAGAGCCGGCGGCAACGCTGTACCATCAGCGCAAACACACGCTAACAAGCTTATCCACTCGCGATTGCCATCCTGTAGCATCTGCTTAAACTGCTTCTTCTTAAACAGCCTCTTGCTAAAGATCCTCTTCTGTCTACCAACAGCTCCAATCATATATGTCAGCATCTACGCCTACGTGGAGATAGTGCGTTTCATCACTGATTATGTAACATGAGGACATATATTCGCTCTCTTCGATAGACTCTATCAATCAACCAACTACTTCCTCAACCTCCTCATATGTTCACAATATAGCCTTTCTCGTCCATATTGTATGTATGCTCAGGCTCCACTTCGTAGAAGTCGATTTTGCTGCCTAGCTGTTTATAGTACACCTTGTACTTATGACCAGAGTCAGCGACGTGGCGTTTACGGTCCATAGAAGTGCTCCACTGGGATGTAAGCTCATCCTGGTGTCGGCGGAGGAAGCGAGTAACCCAGCTTTCGGAGACGGGGTGTCCAGCGATATCAGACGCGTAAATCTGCACCATCTCTCTTGTAGGAGGTAGCTTTCGCTCTGTTAAGTCCTCTATATACTTCACAAGCTCTGCCTCCTGTTCTGGTTGAAGGTTGCGACGTGCTAAACCCAGTGTGTCCATCAACCAAGTAAGTTACTTGCTTGACACCAGCGCTCCAAGCAACTGTGGACCCGCTGGACCGACCGGTTCAACCGGTTGCTTTAACGTAAGCAGATCGTCTTAAGGTGATTGGCCAGTGTCGCGCGTTGGTGCTCAAGGTTCCAACTAATTTAGTCCGGCCCACTGTAGTGCTCTAGCGCCCTGATGTCAAGCAAGTAACTTACTTGGTTGTTGGACACACTGGCTAAACCTGCCTCCGCACGCGACCCACTAATACCTCGGTGCTTGCGCGACAACGTAGAGCGAGCAACACCATGCCTTTTAGCTATTTCTGCGTAACAAATATCTTCATTAGAATCAAGAGCATCTAGCTCTGCAAGAGCTTCTTCCATAGTCATCGTAGCGTTGAGTTGTAGGGGGTGTAAAGTTGGGATGAAATTGCGATCGCGTGCATTGACTGACGGCGTGCATTGTGTGCACGGACACGGTATCTAGTATGTCCCTACGTGACATCTTATATTTGGTCATAAACCACACGAAAATCCCTTTGCACCCTCACACCCCCTAGCCGGCCTGTACTTTCCTCTCTGGTCAAGCCCTCGCTCGATAACGATGTAGCCGCTGATCGACCCTGCTCCACATGTCTTTGTTCAGCCTCGCCTTTCCCGGAGTATATGATTGTGGATAGTTCAATGCCTCGCTGCTGCTGCTGCCTAAGAGGCTGTTCAGAGATGCTAGGCGTCCTGTTGAGACTCCCAGTGAGACGGTTGCACAATGAATTCCAAGCTTTATCGGAGGTCCGCTCCACTTTGTTTCCGTTCAAATGGTTCTGACTAGTTTTGGCGGCGCTGCTTCTCCCTTTGGACGTCGTTCGTGTACCACTCCGACTTGCGCCCATATGCGTGCTCATGCCGCCGATTTGTAGGTGGGAGAGGAAGGTCTGAATACGAGGTAGTGTGGCGTGATTAATCGAAAGGTGGACAACAATTTGATCCATTACGACCCAAATTAGTTGGGATCCTGAGATATGGTCAGTGATATGAGAACCAAAAATCAAGATTAAATGAAAGACTTTTGTTATATTTTGATGAGGACGTGGAGTCTTACGTGTTTGATCCTCCGACTGAAGAGCTTTGTGGATAACTACCATCCGCCCAATATCCACCACACAAATGAGTAAACGCGATCCAAATAACCAAAATACAACAGACTTGGTATGCACTTTCATTTGCAGACCCCAGATAATTGGAAAGATCCAGATGGCAAGCACAGCGTCGGTCAACATGTTAGAAATTGTGATCGGGTAGTACACGTTGCCATGTGTAGAGCAGTTTTTCGGACTCAGTATCCAAGGCTGTGGTAGTTGGCATTGGAAGGCGATCAAAAACAGAGAAAGTAGGGTGTAGACAGCGACCATAGGCATAAGCCATCTGATGGTTTGAGGTCCCATTTGTTTTGGAGTGATGCGTTGAAAAAGGACAACGAGGGATAGTTTAGCAAGAGCGAGAGTGACAACGCCCGAGATTTGTGTCGTCCAGAAAAGCTGTAAGTGCATTCTTAGTACAGTCCGTAGGCTACAGTTCATTTGCATACCTTAAAGTAATGTACTACCTGTTTTTCGTCAAGCGTGTCCTGGTGTCTTCCTAGGCCTGCTCTGACGCAGAAGTGAGACAAGATGGAGGTGAAGACACCAAAGCACTAAGCTTTATTAGTAAAGTGCATACGGAAGGTTGAAATGTAGAGTCATACGAGTCCTACACCAAATACGATATCATCAGGTTCGAACTGATGGAACTTTTGCCGCCGCATTGCCATGCGGACAGTTGCGATGAGAATACTTGTAACTGGAAGAACGATAGAGACGATCGTGTTGATTGGGCCATGGTCTTCGGCCGTGAGTGCAGCTATGGGCTGAATAGTACCGGCCATGATAAAGCGACGAAGTAGTGATGGAGTTGGCACGATAGAAATGCTGGCGTTTAAGATCACTCATACTAAATGTTCTTCCTCAACGACCAGCTCACTGGGTTGATTCGGGGTGCAGGTACAGCAAAAGCGAACCCCTTTTTGCTGAGAACTAACATTCAAGTTGGCGGGCAGTACCCTGTTCGCATAAAACAATTGGCTATGATAAGAGAGTCACCGCCGCTCCTAGGGGCCTCATACGCGAGTGTGAGGCACAGTTGGTAGGAAAGGGTATTGCTCAGACCCTGTGCAGGCTTCGATCATCGAGTCGGAAGGATTCACAAAAGCTGTACTTCAAGAGACGTTAGTGTGGGACATGGCGGCATGCCGTGTCACTTGCGGGATCATCTCTTGCGGCCTCATCTCTCCTCATTTCTTCCAACCCAGTGATGGCTGAAACAGGTCTATCAACCGAGGCGTATAGTACATGCTCCTATGCTAAGGATATGGCCTCACCATACGTGTTTTGGACGATACAAAGCTTCTACAGTGCTGACCGAAATCGGTTTCCGGTTCGCGCACATCGTCTGTTCACGGCGCACGGTCGTTGCCCAAGGAACTTACCTGACAGGTGCTAGCGCCGTGCAGGGTACCGGTCATCAACGATTCTAACGGCCGGTCTTGACGACTAATTCTCTCTTCGATTGGCTGCCGTTAGCACTAGCATGAGCTGTAGGATCTATCATCCAATAATTATGGTTGAATACAACGGAGACTCTGTATAGAGCTAGGACATATCTGGTAAGCGCCCTGAGGTGTGATGGTGCGCTACGAACAAACAATATGCAAGAGCCGGAAACCAATTTCGGTCAGCACTGTAGCAAGGCCACAGATGCCTAGCTACATAGTCTACCAGGGTGTGATGGCGAAAATTAATGCCAAGGCTTGTCACATCGTCTAAGAGTACCTTGATGTGCATAAATAGGTAAACGGGCGGCTCTGTTCCCGACGCCGCGCACGGCCTGAAGTGAGGCCGATAAAAGTAGTGGAGTGATGATTGGAGCGATGGCCGAAGAGCGGTGATAGTGCGCCAAGACCTCAACAAGGTTACAGGCTCGAAGGGCCGGACTTAGTTCCCATAGAGGGCCGGGCCCGTGCCGTTGCTGTTCCCCCACCTGCACGGCCATGCTTCTTTCACGCCGCGCTAGATTAAAAGAAGACAAGAAACTCTGCGAACCGCAGCTAGTGACACCTTCATTAAATAAAATAGTCTGCGTGGCGACGGGCAAGCTACCGTGCCGCGCGCGCAGACGCGCCAATCCTTCGATTAGTACTCTGCTATCTCCTTCACTACTAGATTGCATCTTTCTAGCCTCGATGGTAGCAATCCATATGCTGCAAGGGAGAAAAGATGGGGGCCGTCCAGAGGCGATCTTAAGCAAGGAACTCCTCCTGTCAATGCACCTCAAGAGTGACATTCGAATGCAGCTTCGAAACCCAACGAACTGTTCCAGACACCTCGCGTCAATGCAGGCTTGCGGCGTGGGCATCCTGCAAGCTCCACTGCCTCCTTTGCGACTGGCGGGGTCTGCAGTGCGTCTGGAGCTTGACTACATGATTCAAGTTGGAATCCTGAAGTCCGCCAGGGGAGCTAGGAGTGGGGGCTCGTCCCTCCCCCGGGACACGGCACGTAAACAAGAAGTATACCGCGTTTCGCTTCGTAGATCTCAGGATCTAGGTTGCTTAACAAGAAGTCGGCTCTACATGTCGTCTGTGGTCAGCTCCGGAATAAAACCTCCGAGCCCCATATCCAGTGAAAATTCGTGATCACTTACAATGCTTCGCTCTTTGACGGTTTCCCACGACCACGACGCATTTCCGCATCCTCCTCCTCGTTCCCTCAATATGGACAAAGATGCGGCACTTGTCACGACAACTGTTCCAGATTACCACGATGGACTACACGAGAAGATGAACAAATCCAAACATGACACCCTCTCCTCTGGTTCCTCAAGTGGCGGCGGATTCCAGGTAAGTCCCACTGATCTGTTACTCGAGATCGGCCATCTGACTGCTGTTCCAGCGCTATATCAACCAACTCGCCATCAACAACTTTGGGTTCACACTCCAAGTAGCATGGGAGGCTGTTGGCCTCTCATTCCAACTTGCATGGCTGAATGGTGGTCCTGCCGCGCTCGTCTGGGGATCTATGATCGCTGGCATTGGCTCTACCCTTGTTGCTGCAGCTTTGGGAGAGATGGCCTCCATGTAACTGAGCTTTTAATTGTCGTACTTTTCGAGGTCGCTGACTCTGCCATAGGGATCCCACTGTAGGTGCACAGTACAGATGGTCGGCGCGCTTCGCTCCATTCGCTCCTGAATTCTGGGGGTTCATACAGGGTACGACCACTTCGAATTGCTGCTCCTCAAATGGTCAGAGCTAATAATTGGCATAGGTTGGATCACAGTCATTGCTTGGATTTGCAGCTGCGCCGGCGCCTTCTCCTTCATGTCCAATACTTTATCCGGCTTGATCATCTTCAACAGTCCAAATTACGAGCCTAAGGCCTGGCACTCGACGGTATTCCTGATCGCTTTCCTCATCGTTCCGCTGGTTCTCAACCTTTACTTGCGAAAGATCATCAATTATTTGGAAACAATCGGTGGCATCTTCCACGTAGTCTTCTTTGTTGCTATCATTGCGACACTCTGTACGCTTGCGAAGCGCAGTACGCCCGAGTACGTCTTCATGACCTTGCACACAGATGCTGGCTGGACCAACCCTGGTGTCGCATTCTCTATTGGCATGCTTGCTGTAGCATACCCTATCAGTAGTTTTGATGGTGTTCTACACATGAGTAAGTTGCACAACTCAGCTCAAGCTCCAATGCCAATGCTAATATAGTCCACAGTCGAGGAGACCAAAGAACCTCGTAAGCGGGTACCCAAAGCTATGATCTTAGCGACTTCTTTGAACGCAATTATGATGATCGCCTTTTGCATTTGCTTAATGTTCTGCATTGGAGATGAAGAGGCCGTCGCAAATTCAATCTTGCCGATTACGGAGGTCTTCTACTCTGCGTAAGTGACGCCATCTGGGAGGCGATACAGGTTCGGCACTGACATACTGCAATAGCACAGGGTCCAAGACAGCATCAACGGCAATGACGATTTTGATGGGGCTCCAACTCATGGTTGGCAACTTCAACATTGTTGCCTCCGTAGCTCGATTAGTCTGGCGATTCGCATCCGACAAGGGTCTTCCTTTCCACCAGCATTTCACCTACGTGAGTCTTACCCACGCTCAAAGCGATTAACTCAACTGACAAAGCTATAGATCCATCCGACACTCCAAGTGCCAATACCCGCACTGTTCCTAGTCGGCCTCATTTGTTGCCTCCTGTCGCTGATCAATCTCGGTTCGGCAGCCGCCTTCAATTCGCTCGTCTCCCTACCCACCATCGCGCTATACGTATCATACCTCGTCCCTATCACGCTCTTCACGGCTCGTCAGCTTGCCGGTAGACATCCGAAGTACGGGCCCTTTCAATTAGGCAGATGGAGCATTCCGGTCAAGCTTTGCGCCATTGTCTACTTGATATACGTTATTATCTTTGTTTCGTTCCCAGCATCCAGACCGGTGACAAGCTTAACTATGAACTATGCGCCACCGATTCTTATTGGATTTCTAGTCATTGCAATGGTAGATTGGTTTGCAAGGGGTCGCAAGAAGTTTGAGGTACCTACAGCCGCACTCGAAGACGCGGAGGAAGGGAGGCCGTAGGTGCGTATGTTGGAGGCTGTATGGTAACATAGTTTTAAGAAGCCACGCTCGAATTGGCAAAACCCAATAATAAAAGGTGGGAGATCTACATACTATGAATACGTAGGCTCGTTACCAACCCTTTCACCCTAATAATTTCACTCACAGTCACTCTCGCGCGGCAGATCTTCTATCTCTGCGACCTTGAGCTCAATCTTCACAATGTTCTCATTTTCCTCTAACAGATAGCTGGTCCGCTCTTCTGTGTGGCTCCAGACCTCTAAGGCCAGACGAAAACGCTGCCATGACGCTGCACCCAGGGATCGGTATGGAGGGAGGTGGAGACTCCACCTCTATTTCCATACCTCCATGGAGACTCCATACATTTTAAAGTTATTACTAATCAGGGTAGTGAAACGCCTAAGTGTTTCAAACAACACTTATTCTTATAGTAGATATAAAATTTGCTATTCGAGAGTCTATGATGGAGCAAACTGATGGATTGAAGTAGTACTATCTACTCTCCATTCCTACTACTACTGTCCGCGAGCGACTCTTCAAAGAGAGGTCCATAGTCGTCGTCAACGAACCCAAAGAGAGAAGGGAGATAATCGTCGTCCTCTCTTCTCCCTGCCATCCTTCGAGCTCACGATTTTCTCAAGCGGTACGCCGTATTTCCACCACCGTGCGCGCGTCTTGAACTGACGGGATGGTCCAACCATCCCGGCAAGGCCTGGATCCTCCCAGCGAACCTAAGAGTAGTTGAGCGGGGTTTGAGATACGGTTAGAACATCCTGTAGGACCTCTGAACTGTCGTCGTTGGTATGCTGGAGGTCTGTAGGGTAATGGACGTCTGCCGAGTCGAGCTCTGATAATCTTTCAGAGTCATCGTGAGGAACATCCGTCCGTTGCGACGAAGGTGGTAGAGAATTGCTTTGAAACTTGCCCCAGGGCTTCCGGCGTCGCTTACTCGACCGGCCATCAGTCCTGTTGAGAATTCTTAGGGCTTTGCGATGCCATTGTAGCAATGGATATATCAAAACAGGTTACTGATGGAGATATTGATGATGATGTTGATAGGAACTATGTCGCACGGTTGGGTGCGGTGTTGCAAGTACGAGAAATTATGAAGTGTGTATGTCTTGTATTGTTCTAGCATCATAGCTCAGCTTATATAGAGGTCATCGCACGGCGTTATTAGTAATAAGGTTCATGTTCCCGACAGCGCTTGGCCTGCGACACACCCCCTCAGATCTCACTTAGTCTCAGATGAGGTCTGATTGTCATCAGAGTTTGCCTCTTCGTGTCGATGCGCTGGATCAATCCGCGATGAGATATCAACCAGGCCTAAATGACGTACGAATTGAGAGTGCTTTTCTGCTGAGAGTGGTTTGGTGAAGCCATCCGAAAGCATTTCAGTCGTTGGAACCCATTGAACTGTGACTTTGCCGTCTCTGTAGACCTGCCTCAGCCATAGGCTATGGATGTCGACGTGCTTTAGCTTTGATGACGTTTGTGGTCTGTCCTTCTGGATCAGGCCTGTCGTCTGCTGGTTATCACAGAGTATGCGAGGTTGATGCTCGGGATCGAACTGTATCTGCTTGAACAGCCGGTATAGACCTATTGTCTCCTTCGCTGTGTGTGACAGCGAGAGTAGCTCAGCTTCAGTTGTTGACGTGGTTACAGTCTTCTGTTTAGACGACTGCCACATAATCGGTCCCTTGAACAGCTTCATGAGATAGCCCTGCGTGGATCTTCGAGTCTCTGGATCATCCGCGAACGATGCGTCGCTTGACAGCTGAAGTACCTCTTCATCGCGTGTCTCTACTTCAGTGGTATTTTCCACTGAGCCCAAGAACTCGATGGCATAGTACTTCGTGGCCTGGAGATATGCGAGAACTCGGTTCGCGTAACGCAGGTGCTCTGGTGAAGGGTTCATAGTGAACTGACTTAACTGGCTGGCTGCAAAAGACACATCGGGTCGTGATACGACTGCTGCGTACAGGATCGAGCCTACCTTTTCTTGCATCTCTGTGATCTGATGAAGTGTAGCTTGCCCTTCGTATTGCTGAGGACGATATGACGAGAGGAGAGGCGTTGTAGCCGTTCTTCCAGAGTCGTCTATGCCGAACTTGGTACAGATCTTCTCAATGTACCCGTGTTGGCTGATCCAGAGCTTCTTGTCTCTGGTGTTGCGGAGGATCCTGATGTTGAGGAAGGAGATTGCCTCGCTCAAATCCTTGATCCCGTATCTGCTGTTCAGTTTTAGCTTAAAATCGTTGATTAAGTGGATACTTTCCGGTTGTGCAACGACAAGCATATCATCTACATAGAGAAATAGGATGAGGCCGGTTTGGTTGCTGATGAGTATACATGGCTCATCTGGGCAATGATTAAATCCCAGACCCTCGAGGAACGAAACGAGTTCGTTGAACCAGAGTTTTGGTGATTTGCGCAGGCCATACAGCGCCTTTCGCAGCTTCCAGACTTTCCCTGACTGGCGGTACCCAGGTGGACAAGTGGTGTATATCTCCTCGTCCATGTCTGCATTGATGAAGGCATTCTTGAAGTCGATTTGATGACAAAGAAGCCCGAATGCGCAGACAAGAGCCATTAGGATACGAAAGCTGCGATATGCGCCAGTTGCTGCATATATGTCATCGGTGACCTGATGTTGTAGATCGCCTCTAACGCAGATCCGCGCTTTGTGACGAACGAGGTAGCCAGCGTCGTCAAACTTGTATGTGAACACCCATTTGAGTGGTAGTACTTGCTTGCCATCTGGATGGTCCACTAGTTCAAACGTTTTCTTCTCTTCGAGCGATGCAAGTTCGGCGTCTGCAGCATGCCGGAATCCCTTGCCTTCAGGATGTCGCTTCAGCTGATGCCAGAAGTCTGGTGGCGCAATAGGTCTTTCCGGTGTGTGCGAATAGACTGTGCTGCCGCGAAAGCGTGAGCCACTTGCTAACCGAGTCTAGCACGCTCTAGTCGAAGAGCATGAGCTTCGCGTCTTGCTCTCTTTTCTGTATATCGTTGCGTAGCATGTGTGTGGGAGGAATCAACGGCGTCTTGCCCTCTTTGCGACAGTCGGATCTTTCTTCCAGTACTGGTGCGCAAGTTTTGGAGAGCAGTTGCGTCGGTATTAGTGTCGCGCAGCGTTCTGTGCAGCTTCCTTTGCAAAACCTCCAGGGTAGAGCTGAGAGAAGACATCTCCTTTCGCGCGGGCCGCGGCGTCCTGTGCAACTCCCTTTAAAAAGAATCTCGCTCGTAACTCGTCAGTAATACAGTGATACTCTGCACCATAACATCGTAGCGCACTAATCTACCTAGGTACGCTTCGAACTGCGACTCCTCAAATACAAGGTTCAGCGAAGGAGCGCGGTAGTTGCTACTCCTATACATACCCTCACGTGACCCCGCCGCGCTTAGAAATTATACAAACCGTCGAAGAACGTTGCGAACCTCGACGCGAACTGCTGCGCACTACCTACACGGATACTTCCAGCTTGTACGATAGGCAAAACAGACAGGGTGAATTGAATCGCGGCCTCGAGTTTTCAAAAGGACGTGTAGTTGTGAAGCTGCAGTCACCAGAAGCTCACGTTCGCGACCGACGCAATTTTGGCTCAGATATCGCAATTTTGATAGTGTTCTTCAGAATCAGAGGCCAATTTCCTGACTTGGCTAGCCCTAACTGAGATCCCGGGCTCTGATATCTTCAGAACTGAGCTGAGGAAGCCTGAGTGAGGCCTGAGGCTTCGGCGGCTGCAGCGCCACAGCCTCGCCTCCTATCGCAAATAGGAGGCTTTTGACTATTCCGTAAGCTCGAAACCTCCGTGTAGGTAGTGCGCGGTTGTTGATATAGTGATTCGCGGCAGTTCCTCGATAGCAGAGATGCCAACAATCAAGTCAATCAATCAATTTGCTTGATCCCAGACCCAGCTGTGGTCCGTGACACCATGCACGCACCATAAGTGGGTCCGTGATCAAGCAAATTGATTGATTGACTTGATTGTTGGCATCTTTGCTCGATAGTGAGCGAGGTTGAGTTACGTGACATGTCCACCCTTTGTCTTTTGCGATATCTTTGCCTGATCTTACTGCTCGCTCTTCTCTGTCCGAGTTTCGTACTTCTTCTTCTTCTTCTTCTTCTTCTTCTTCTTCTCCTTCTGGAACTTAGTGTGCTTCCGCGTCATCTCTTCCACCTCGTTCCTCGACTTGCCGAAGTCCTCTTCTCCTCCTCCAGACCCTCTTTGCGTTCTCCTTCTGTGATGGGATAGACCCATGTGGAGCCTCGGCCTAGGACCTCGGTGCATTCGACAGGAAGACAGCGTTGCCACCAAGGCGTTGCCACTCAAGGCGTTGCCACTCAAGGCATTGCCACCCTGTTGCCACCCTGTTATCACACCGTTGCCACCCACGTATATAAGCCCTTACGGCACCCCAGATGGATCGCCATCGAATTCATCTGATACTTTCTTGCATCTACCCTCAGGGTCTTGCCCCTTACATTCCTCTTCCCTTGCTTCGCCTCCACTCTCACCTCCACTCTCACCTCGCTCTTACTTCCACTCTCATCTCCTCCGCATCCCCACTCCCGTCTCCTCCGCATCCCCACTCCCGCTCCCGCGCTCTTCTTCCGCTCTTTCTCCGCTCTTCCCTCGCTTCACCTCCACTCTCACCTTTCCTCTCACCTCCACTCTGACCTCCACTCTCATCTCCTCCGTATCCACTGTCTGATGCGACGCACTGTCTGATGCGATGCGCCGCTCCACTGCCTGATGCGACGGACTGCGACGCGCTGCTCAACTCTGATGCGATGGGCAGCTCCATTCTGATGCGATGCGCTGCTCAACTCTGATGCGATGGGCAGCTCCATTCTGATGCGATGCGCTGCTCAACTCTGATGCGACTCGCTGTTTCGATCAAGCGAGCGAATCAGAATGCGAGAAAAGCCGGTGAGGGGCGGCCGGGTTTAGCCATGTAACTCTATGTAGCTCTAGAAGGCGGATCCTTACGCT